TTTTTTTTTTTTTCTCCCCTGTGTTTTAAAACGATTTTTACAGCATAAAACTCATCACTTCCTGTGACAGAGGCCCAAGGTACAGCTTCTGCCCTGAGCCTAGACCATGCTGCCCATGACCCTTGGAAATCAGTCAGCTGTGACCATGTTCATCCTGCAGAGCTTCGTAGATGACCCCTGGCTCCAGGCAACCCTCTTCTGCCTTTTGTTTGCCTTGTTTGTGGTGGCCATAGTTGGCAATGGTCTGATTGTCATGACCATCCATAGAAGTTCCAACCTCCACACTCCCATGTACTTCTTCCTAGTCAACCTGGCCCTGCTGGATGTGATCTGCACTGTGACCGTCCTGCCCAAGGTTCTTCAGAGCCTGGTGGCAGAGAACACCATCTCTTATGGCGGATGCCTCACCCAGATGTTTGTTTTCTCCTGGGTCCTGGGCTCTGAACTGCTGCTCTTCTCTGCCATGGCCTATGACCGCTACTTGGCCATTTGCCGGCCATTGCACTACGGCACCCTCATGAGTGGCAGGGCCTGTGTAGCCCTGGCAACCTTTGTGTGGTTCACAGGGGCTCTCAACTCCCTAGTGCTCACTTGTCTGGTGCTGCCACTGTCCTTCTGTGGTCCCAATCTCATTGCACACTTCTTCTGTGAGATCCCTTCTGTGTTGCTGCTATCCTGCAGCCCCACGTTTATCAATGATGTCATGACCGTCATTGCAGACATGTTCCTGACTGGTCTGAACTTCCTGTTGACCATGTTGTCCTATGGCTTCATCATCACCAGTATCCTACGCATCCGCTCAGTTGAAGGCAAGAAACGTGCCTTCTCTACCTGCTCTGCCCACTTGGTGGTAGTTACCCTGTACTATTCCACTGTGCTCTACACCTATGTCCGGCCAGCCCTAGGATCTTCTGGGCTCTTGGACAAGGCCGTTGCTGTTCTGTACACTTCTGTGACTCCCTCTCTCAACCCCCTTATCTATACCTTGAGAAATAAAGAATTCAAATCATCCTTTAAAAAACTCCTTTTTCCCCCTTTGATGACTCTG